AAAACAGCCCACACTTGATATGGGATGGCAGACAGCAGTCGGTTGTGCCTCTTCCCCCCCAGGTAGCGATTCTCAAACCCAAGCGCACACCCCTCCCCAGCGCTGTTTGGGTTAAACCTGGTTTTCACCCCTTCTGCCTTATTGGCACACTCAGCCCACCAGACAGCCCCTTTCCCGAGTGTGCCCCATGGGCTGTGCATGCTGCGTGTCCTCAGGACAATACAGCAAGACCCCGGGTGGCTTTCGGAAGGGACACTGCACCAGAGGCAACAAGGAATGCCCTTATTGGCTAACAACTTTAAGATGGAGCCCAACTGAGCTGGGGAAGGAAGGGGCCTGAAACACTTACAGAGCTGCTCATTGAAAGGCAAAGACCAGCATCACCCAAAGCTTAAACTTTAGGTATTAAAATGGAAACAAATCAATCTCAGCCTCTCTCTCAGTCCCCCCCCCCAGCTGAGACATGGGTCCCTGGTGCCCAGTGAGCATCCACCCTGGTCAGTCCCTGGCATGACCTGGCCGGTGGGGGCGGTTCTGTGAGCACTTGACTGCCACTGAGAGGGTCCCCTGTAGAGATGTGAAGGCCTGGAAAAATTCGGGGGAAAAACGGTTTTTTTCCTGAAGCCTATTTTGTTTTTTTCAGAAAAATTGGAGAAATTGAAAAAAGAAAAGGAAAGGGAAAAAATTGATTATGGAACATTTTATTTTAACATGATGAATAAAATATTTTAAGACAAGGTGTTCAAATATTTTCCAAATCATTTCTTAAAAATATGTATGGTATCAGATTGATCTAATTTCTGTGTAGTGGGGACAAGCAAGTCCTAGGTTACAAACTGAACTCTCCAATGCAAGAACAAGATGCATTTCTTCCTTTAGGAGGTGCTACTGTCACAAGAAAAGAAAAAGGTTTCAGTTTTGTTTTTGCATGGGGGCGGGTATTCTGTTTGTGATAATTGTTTGGATACACTATATTTTTAATATGCTAGTTGTGATAATTTCATGCCAAGTAAAAATGTCCATAGTCATATTTTATGTTCCTAAAGTAACAGAATGACTTTCAATCTGGAAAAGACAAAAGACATGCTAATGTAGCTTTTTTTTTTCAATTTTCCCAAAAATTTCCGTTCTTTTCCCTGAAAAAAACTGGGGAAAAAATGGGTTTTTTCCCGAGCTTCAAAATTTCCAGAAATTTTACATCTCTAGTCCCCCCACACACACACACACACTTTTGTTTGTTCTTCACATCAAAACTTTTAGAAGAAAAAAATCTATGGCTTCAAGCCTGAAAGATGTGGTACATCTCGAGGTGCTGGTCTGTGATGTGCCTCCTCCGTTGCCTTCCAGGCAGTGCCCACTTGCTCTTCTTAGCACGGGCGTCTGTCTGTGCTTTTGCTTGCTCCGAACACTCACCTTGGAAGGA